CTTCAACACAGAGCATCTTCAGAAGACAAGATGAGAAAGTAAAATTTTAAATTCTGTATTGTTCGATACAGCACTGTTCGATTCGGTTCGGTTCGATAGGGGTACATGTATTGTTGCACCCCTAATATATATAAAAGGCTGCTTTGATTTCTTTTCTATATATTCTATTCTTCTTCTTCTTCAGTTTGTAAGGGGTTTCATGCTGGCCACTCTGGTCCCACCCTGCTCCAAGTTGTCAGTATGGATGAAGAAAGCCTTGAGGCTGCGATCGCTGCCTATGGTGCCCAGCTGCAGCAGGTGGAGATGGCTCTTTCGGCTGGCCTGGACGCCAGCCAGCAGCCAGACCTGCTCAAACTGAAAGAAGACCTTTGCCAGCTGATCGAACTGACCGAAGCCAGCCTGGTGTCCGTCAAAAAGAGCCGGCTGCTGTCCAGCCTGGAGGGCAGTAACGAACTGCAGAACACCTCCGAGGCAGCAGCAGACACCCACAGTGCAAATGGCTGTCTGGACGCTGAGTTTGCTGCTTTCTACTCTGAACTGGGAGAGAGTTCAGGCAGCAGTTCTGACACTAGAGACAAAGAGAGAGAAGTGGAAGGAGGGACGGTTGATTATGAAGAGGAGGGAGAYGAAGATGAGGAGGAGGAAGATGTGCTTAGTGGTACCAAAGTGAGAGCTCCTTACAGAACGCCATGGGGGACGCTGGAGTACCACAATGCCATGGTGGTGGGGGCAGAACCCCCAGATGGAGACGAGGCACAAGTAAGGGTGCTCTACATCTATCCCACCCAGAAATCTTTGAAACCCTGTCCATACTACCTGGAAGACAAGTGTCGCTTTGAGGAGAGCTGCAGGTAAAGCATCGCTTTTGTTCGTTTAATTTTCTTGCTTGTTTGTTATCCACCTTCACATCGATAAGTTTTGTTTGTTTCACCCCAAGAATGAATTAGTTTGAGTAGTACTTTAGAAGTTTCCATTTTATTCAGTAAATTATTCATTTAGAAGTTTATTTAAAAAGTACCAAATGAAGTTTCTGAATGATTTTCTTGAAATGAAAGGTTTTCTCACGGCGAGGTGGTGTATGTGTCGGAGCTCAGAGAGTTCCTGGAGTGTGACCTCAGTAATATTGAAGAGGGTTCGGCCTGCTTGGCTCGACACGASGACGGCATCTGGTACCCAGCCAAGATAAAAGGTTTTTTACTAACTCGTCATTTTGTGAGTCTTTTTTTTTTTGTCTAATCCAGTTTCTGACATGTTTTATTTTCTTCCATTTTAGAAATCGACAGTGGTTTCTACACCGTGAAGTTTGACTCACTGCTGTTGAAAGATGCTGTKGTTGAAGCCGACGGCATCATCCCGCCTCTGAGAGAGGACGACCCAGTCTCCTCTGACTCGGACTCAAACGACACTGGAGATGGAGAGAGTCTGGGATATGCAAAAGGTGCTTGAACCGTTCTTCTTTCTCTTCTTTGGTGCATCTTGTGTTGAAAGGCTTCACTTTTGTAATGTTTTCAGTTGAAACGGTTCTCGTTTAAAARCTAACCTTGTGTTGTTTTATTCCACAGTGCTCGACTCTGCCCTGGAATCTGCAGTGACCTTCAACAGTTCCAACTTTGGTGGCTGGGAGGCTCACACCAGAGGCATCGGATCCAAACTTATGATCAAAATGGGTTATGAGTACGGGAAAGGTGAGTGTAAAAAGTGCATTGCACTGATATTTTAAGTTCTGAAGTCCCATGAGTTAAACGATACTAACCTCATCATCTAATTCTGGCTTTCTTATTTTATTTATTTATTTATTTATTTAT